GGTGCCGATAAGTACTCCCATGATATCTACCTCCTCACCAAACCACCACACCCTGGTTTGGTTTATCTTTATGCTAATAAGAATCAAGAAAGACTCATGATACAATGAGTAATCTATTTCAAAATATCCAGATAAGAATTGTTTAAACATTCTTTTTTATCACCTTCATGCGTCACATTGCCTAGTTTATTCAATATAGACGTGTCATATTCCAGTGACTCCCTTTTGATTCATTCTTCTCTTCATTCTATATACAATGAGGCATTTATTATATTATTTGCACACTACGAGTCTAATTGTGAACTATGCTTCATATCAAGTAGGAAGTAGTATCGTCGACGGCATCAGATAAAATAGTTCCTCTGAAACAAGTTAGTGTTAATGCAACAATTCGCTCGTTTGCCGCCGATGTAACAATTACACAAGTGTTTCAAAAAACGATGAATCTGTGTCTGCTGAAGCTGTTTATTGGTAAAACATATATCCCTCTTATGTATATTTCATAATACATATAATCGTTATAGTTTTCCTGTCGACGAGAATGCAGCTATTTATGGCTTCATAGCTCGCATAGATGATGAACGTGAAATTGTTGCTCCAATCAAAGAGAAAAGAGCAGCACAACAAGAATATATAAAAGCTCTTGCTCTAGGTCATGGTGTTTATCTATTAGAACAAGATGAAGCTTCAAATGACATGTTTATCATTAGTGTAGGAACGTATGTTATTGTTCGTTTTTGTCTTTATTGAATATTCTGCATGTTGTATAATATTTGATTCTAGTTTAAAACCCAATAGTCAAAGTCAAATTACAATTAGTTATGTGAGCAAACTCGATTCATTGCATACGAGCAAAAAGCCGACGATTCGTTTCGTTGTTCCTACCACAATTTCTCCTCGTTACTCGCCTTCATACAAAATTATTGCATCACCAACTGAAACTCAAGCAGAATATGCTGAATCAGTACCTTATACGATTGAGTTTATGTGTCAGGTAGAAAAACTCGATCAGCATATTGTTTCTATATCGTCTCCTTCACATCTAATCAAGATCGATTGTAATAATGAAGAAATATTTCTTGTCACACTGAGTGAACAAGACACTGCACGTGAGTAAGTCTTTTGGCATCTTATACTAGTCGAAAATTATCCTAAATCGAAAAAAAAAAGTCTTCATATTATTCAGATTTACATTGAAATATATGATTTAATTTATCTTTTGTAGTCGAGATATTGTTGTTGATGTTGAATTATCTGATATACGAAGTAATACGATTGCTGCTGTTGATAATAGCGCTGTTATGATCTCATTCATACTGAGTGAACAGGATTGTCGACAAGACTCAAATAATTCAATGAACGAAATTTTTTTCGTCATTGATTTAGTGGTTAGATGAAAGGTGATGACAATATTGGGTTAGCACGCAAAGCCATGTTACTTTTTCTCAAGAGTCTGCCAGTCAATTGTCGTTTCAATATTATTCGTTTTGGGTCTCATTTCTCAGCACTTTTTACTGATCATGTGATACGAGATTATAATAAAGAGAATATGAGTCAAGTTGAAACCTTGATCAAGAATATGAAGGCCTACCTTGGTGGCACTGAATTACTTATGCCACTGCATTGGTTAAAGGAAAACAAACCACTTACAATTTTAAATCATTAAAAATTCGATGAAAGGCTTTAATGTGTTAGAGTTTTTTACGCGTTTTAACGCAATTCTTATTTATGTTGTTTGTCTCAGTAAGTTCAGAAACGAATAAAATAGTGTTTCAAAAATACAATTTATAAATTTAACGAAAGAATACGTTAAATTATGTCCTTTGTTATTAGCTAATCCTTTTTCTCTGCCATAAACCTTTCCTCATTTTTGGCATAAATTACAGTTTTTTGGTGAAATGATTGCTACTCTCTTTCAGGCAAAGAAGCGCCAACAAAATACCTATGATAAAGCATAGATGTATCTTGAATTTTGAATATTTATAAAATTTAATTTATTATTTAATTCGATTTTGACCGTATATAAAATATTTAAACATAATTCTAGACTAAATACTATCAAGTTAATAAAATGTTAGTTCAATGACATCGGGAGCAGGCAATTAAATTGAAGTTCTCTTTGAAAATTTTTCTGATAACTTTAGTTATTTCTGCAACCAAGAGTATCTTCATATATCCTTTCCTTTCTTATATCATAAAACCAAAGACTATTTACTTTAGTAATATCAAATGATTACATCGTGCAATATTAATATTTCAAAACTCTTCTTGAATAAAAAAATAGATTTGTTTCTCAAACGTAGAAAGGATTCCACTGTTCGCAGTTTAACGGATAAAAGAGTATCTCAAATAAGGTTTTGCAAGTTACATACGTCATTAAAAGCGTTTCAAATGATAAGTTCTTAAAAAATAGGTTCATAATGCTTCACATAATAAAATAGTAAAAATGGAGTTGAGATGGTTTAAATCAAGTCATAGCACATAAAAGATCTATGTGTATTTGACAAAAATTAAATTCATCCCGGTGTTTGTGTTAAAAAGACAAAGTTTATCAAAACATTTGTTCCAATGCAATCCTAATTATCTCGTTTGTGTAGTTTGATGCCAGGAACTCAATAGATTCTGATTAACGGAAACACATGTTATGCTGAATAATTTTCATGCAACATCAATGTAATCCATACACTTATTCTTCTTTTATGGTATTTAGTCATGTCATAATAAGTTAAAATGCGCTTGTATTTTGCACTCATTCCAAAGATATAGTAAGAACATTTTTTGCTCTTTTTCTTTATATATTTTAAATTTCTTTTTCTAAACTTCTTAATGAGTTTTCCTCATGAAAAGTATGCCAATAAATTTCCCTCGTTAAGTTTCAGTTTTTGATATAAGAAACAGTCACTCAAAAAATGTCTTATTCTGCTAAACCATCGTGTAAAAGTTGTTTGGTTTTGATATTATATTAGTCGACAGCGTTGTTCTTCGTTTTTTGTCCTTAGCTCTTGATGGTTTTGGACTATCAATTTCTTTTCTTTTCATATTTTAATCGTCGATGCTGGTGAGTAACATGGTTTCTTTACTCTCACTAGCATAGATAATCCTTTCTTTCTTCAACTTATACTGTGATGAGTAAGACTTTTCAAGTATGTCTGCGTTAGTCTTTATCTTCTATCAAAAATATCTTCCTGACTTATTTCTATTTTCTATTTGGAATGAGTCATTCCATTTCTTTCTCGTTTAAAATATCCTGGCATTTATGCAGTCTCTACTAATACAACAGATCTTAGTCCTTCCATTAGATTATGGTGTGAGTGTGGGTGGGCATGAATGAGAAAAAGTAACACCCACATTCACATCCACAATGAAACAAGCAATTAATAGTTTTCATTACAATCATGTTGATACATGTTAATAGATTTCTCTCAGTAATGAATTTTGCAATAGTCACTTTTCGTTGTCATTGTGGGTGTGACCAGCTGGTTAATGAAAACGAAACTTGTTCGATATACAACAGCAGCAGAAATCATAATTACAGTGAATAATGTGAATATCTTTTCGGAAAAATGAGTTTTTGATAAATCATTGAGTAGTTTTTTGTCGTTTATGAGTTATCTATGCACCTTGAAGGGGTTTTTGAAAATCTAATAAACTGCTTGTCTCTTACAGCTCATTTGATCAATACTACTCAACACAGGAGTCAAGTCTTTTCTTACCTTTTACCAATTGATCTTCAACTTATCGCTGATTCATTTATTTGATTAATCATTTTTTCTGTTACACAATGAACTCAAACAATAATACTACTAGTGTAAAGTCTAATTCGTCAGAAGTAACCATAGTTTCTCTTTCTCTTCAATCATCCGTTCAGCCTGTACGATTCTGGACTTACGTGTTTTTTGACGTATTTTCTCTTATCTGTACTTTCTTTGATCTCTATTATCTTCTTGCTGATCGAACACTTCGTCGTGCACTCAATAATCATGTCCTTATTGTTCTTCTCATTGTTGGTCTTATCGATGAATCAACCAACATTCCATGGATTCTTTACAATGATCATAATCGTGCGCCTCTACTAAAATCATACATATTCTATAGCTTCTGGACTTTTATCAACCTTGCATTTAATTCACTTCAAGTTGAATTGTTTGCTTGGGCAACTATAGAACGACATATACTTATATTTCATAATCATTGGGTAGCGACCAAAAACAAATGTCTCATTTTTCATTATTTCCCCATCGGTGCAATCATCATCTATTATCTTATCTATTATTCTTTTGTCTTTTTTTATCCATTTTGTGAAAGTTCATTTGATACATTCTTAGGTGGAGGTTTTCATATTCCGTGTGTTTTTGATCATACAGTATTAGGATTGTGGGATTTGATTGTCCATCAATTTTTGCCCACTGTGATTATTGTGTTGTTTAGCATAGCACTTCTTATTCGTGTCACATTACAGAAAAATCGTTTACGTCAAGGAGTTCAATGGCGGAAACATAAAAAGATGATTATTCAATTGTTGTCCATCTCAGCTGTCTGTATCATCTTCAATGTACCATGGGTTTTAGTTATTTTTGCTCATCAATATGGTTTACGGGAAGATATTGCAAAAGTTGGTTTAATTTATACAGGATTTCTTTATTATTTCGTTATATTTCTGTTTCCATTCGTTTGTTGTTTATCAATATCTGAGGTTCGATCGAAAGTTGACGAGAAACTTTTATTCTGGCAACGAGCACGAAAAGTTGGTCCAACAGCATTACCAATGGTACGACCACGAACTGATGGGAAAGTAGAACAAGGATGAATCAACTTACGAACCTTATTTCATGACATTTTTGACAAGCCGCTAATTCATAGTCATGAAGTTTTTTATTAAAAAAAATAAATGTATTAAGATAAATCCAGATGACATGGATGTGAGTTTATGGAGTGGGCCATTGTTGTAATCGTTGACAGTGAACTGTTGGTGACCAGCTGACCTAAATTTTTTTCAATGTTTTGCATTCTGTTTTTTGAAAAATCGATCATAGAGTTCTTGTCTTCTTCATATGAGACCAGTTTTACTGATTTTAATGACTGTTTCTATAGGGTAAATTGTATTAGAGTATTTCTGTTATTCACAGATTCATTAAAAGTTCATAATATATTTTCTAGACTCACTGGTATCAGGTTGCATTATCGAAACAAAATGAAGCCACTTTTTGCCACTGTAATTTATTATTTTTTAGGTGTGGGTGCCGGTTTAAATGGAGCAAAAAAAAATTACATCCACACCCATACTAAAATTGAAAAAGTGGAAAAAGATCCTTGTAATTGTTTTTCTTAATCAAAACATAGAAAAAGGTGAGCGATGGAAAAACAAAAGCCGTGCACGTAGAATGTTTTTAATAAATTTCGTGAATTTAATACATAAAAGATATGGCTGTGATTGTAATTTTTTGCTCCATTCAAGCTTACACCCTCATAAAGTCTTGTGAACAGACAGCAAATAGTCTAAATTCAAAGAAATGCAAATGTAAATGTGAAATACACCTTTCAAGAACAAAGAATTCGAATAAACTGAGGGCTCGCCATGGTTCATTTGTCTTTTATTATGCGATGCCTCTGATTCTTTGCATCATTTATAATGTCGATTTAGATCAGATGCGACTACTGTACTAATTAAGATAGGATGTCTGTTTAGCGTAGCTGGTTACAAAACAGTTTTCATTAAGAACTTTTCATGTTGACTTAAAAGGTTCAGCTAGATTTGAAATATCCCTCTCTTTGCAATCGAACTGGATATAATTGTGTTACAGGCCTTGATTCACCTTCTCGATTCTTCTCTATTTCTTTTCTCCCTTACTGTTGTATGTATGTCTTTTCCATTGTTATCTATGCCTATATATGAGGTGTGGGTGTGGGGTGTGGATGTTGATGTGGATTTGGGTGTGGGTGTAAATTTTTCCTTCACTCGCACCCACACCATTTATGGGATGATAGAAAACTTTAAGTACCATTTGTAATGATAAAAGGAGAGATGTAATGACAAAGTGAAGGAATAGCATACCACCATCCTCGGTAATGATGTTTATTAGCTACCTTGCGTCTCCAGAACGTAACAACTTCATACATAACACACATATATATATATAGGAAATAGATAGAAGAGAGAGACAGGAGCGAGATTTATTAGAACAATGGAAAGAGAATACAAAGAGAAGGAAGGAGAATCATCGAAGCGTGTCATCAATATCGGTACATCATTATATTGTGTTTTTCTTTTCTAAAAACTTCTTTTTTTACAATGAACAAAGGCCAATGAGAAAATACATATATAGGATAATAGAGCTTGAAATGCTATATCAGACAACATATTTGCTTTTTTGAAACGCTATCTCTTTAGTGATGATGAAACTAAAGCATTCAATAAGACAACAATGCAAAAAAAAATTTGAGAATCTAGACATGAGGTTGTTTTAATTGTAATAGATTTATTTTGATAATGTCTTAGTGCAAATTAAAAGATAAATATCAAAGGCGATAGTCTTCTGATAATAAGAGACACGTAAGTTATTGATTAGTAGTAAAGGCAGGCTTTATTATCAGTGAGAAATATTGCACGAACAAAAATAAATACGTACGGATATATGGATATTAAATTGTCTTATGTTAAGTGTATGTCTATCATGATGCATTAGAAGTAGATATTTACTTAGAAATAATTTATTCTTATTATTTGTTCATAGTAATCCTTAAAGAAAAAAATATATTTTATATTGAAATATCATACTGATGATTGAAGAGTAAAATTATATTGTAAAAGTTTTTGACTTTATTCTTATGAGTAAAATAAAATGAAATCGTATTTAGGTCGTTGATTGAGTTGTTTCTTTTTTCACATATGATGTGATACTCGTCTTCCTAGTTTTCTTTTTTCAAAATTGATTAAGACTTAGACATACAATAAAACTTTATACAAAAAAAAAGATATGTAGAGAGACATCAATGAAAAGAAAATATTTTTCATGTTCGAGTATTATCAATTCACTTATTATACATAATGATATATGATAACTATGTGTCCATATCTGTAGCTAGATAACAACTTATATAATATCGTTAAATCTGAAGTCATCATTCCACTCAGTCAATGTGACTCTATTGATTTCAGCATATATCTATATGTGTCACTATCTCTCTTGACTATTTTCTTCAAGTCACTAGCTCAGATGAGTCCAGGAACTCCAGATCATGTTGATCAATATGAATGCAACTGATTTTAGATATTCACCATCATAGTGTATTAAAGATAAAAGACCAATGTTCTTTATTGTATATTGTCTTGAGAAAAATGATATTGTTTCGCTATGCAAAGTAATAAATCGTCCAATGAGAAAATTTTTAACCGACTGATGAGACTTATTTCTTACTGTTAAATTATAAAGATCCACAATCATTTACTTTAATTGATTATGAGTGCAAGTCTCGATATTTAAATAGCATGATGACGGAAGAAAATTGAAATTTTTCAAAAACAATCTTGATTTTCGTTTCCTTAATTGTAAAATTACGAAACATAAAGATCTTAATAAATACCGAATAACGTTACGTTTCAATGTAAAACTCAAAAGGGTGAACTTTTCTTCGTCATAAATGAACTATATTAGAAACATTGAAATGTGTATTCACAAAAAAAAATTTTCAACGTACTTTAATTAATGGTATTTTCATTTTTTTAAACTAACCATAAAAATGACTTGTTACTAAGATAAAAAAAAACATATTTTATCGTTAGACACAAATCAAACTTATGAAAATGAGTTCATTCACATCTCCCCTACCGATTCTGTTACAATAAGTGACTACTTCCATTTATCGTACACAATGAAGACGAAACTTATTGACTGAAATCATGGAGGTACTTGTAAAAACGAAAAAAAATCTTTCTCTCAGTATTAGAATGTGAGTACGGATATGTCTGAATGTCTATATAGTTTTACAACAATATCTATATCAAACCTATATCTACATCGCAGTATTTTTTTCAATTGTATTCGATGAGAAGGCAAGAATAAACAAAAACATTGGATTTAAATTCTTATGATGAACTAGATTTCAAACAAAATGTTTATTTCTTCTTTTTATCTTCTTTTTCAATACAAGGTTTTGTTAGTGGTTTCTTTGATAGATAAGATACACAAAAGAAATGAAGAAATAAAACAAAATAAACAGCATACATAAAAAAAGACCAAAATATATTCTCATAAGCAACATAACATGTTGCACTTTTTTGTTTATAAATATAGGCTTTATAATTAACAAAGCACCCGACAGTCATTTGTGATAATTGAAATATAGTTATTGTTATTTGAATCTGTTTTGGTATGTGAAATTTCATAGCACGAAATGCATAATAAGAATACATCAATGCTAAATATAAACAAGAACAGAAAAATAAAACAATATAATATAAAGTTTACCATGAATACTATAATTGAGAAATACAAACCAACGTCCACTAGCTGTCCAATCATGATAACTGTTACAGATAATCTTCATTAATTTAAATTAATGAAAAAGATTTCTTCATTCTTACCTATACCATGCATAAATTAAAACAGTAGCATGATGAAATCAATGAAGAAAAAATAATTTTTGTTTACGTAATACAATAAATAATGTATCAATAAGTTCAGGAACTTTTGATATGCAAAATATTGTTGTCCTATGAAAGAGAGAGAAAAGCTACAATAAGTAAATATATATGCGTTTGATTTTCCATACCAATACCCAGTTACACCACAAGCGTAACTACGATCACAAATAGTATAGTATAAACCTTTTTTTATTTAAAGCATAAATCATTTCAGGTACACAACGTATCATACCAAATATACTAAATAAAGCCAATGAAACATTCCATAATATTAATGGTAATCTTAATTCATAACGTTCACGTTTTTCCATTAACGAACGACCATAATAAATTAATCCAATATATATAACCGAATAAACAATACTTAACCACCACCATTTATTCATCCAAACATGAATATTATGGGCATGAGTTTTATCAAAAAATTTTTTTTCAAAATCAAACACAAATGGATGATATATACCAACTGGATCTCGTACCCATGGTGTTATATTAAATGGATTTCCATTTAAATATTCATGTTGAATTGGATTTCGATAAAATGATTCCAAAGTCATCATCTATTAGATAGTTACTCTGAAATATAGAGTAAAGAAATAGAACAGACATCAATAAGAATGAATTTTTTGACTTTTTTTTCATTTACCTTGGATTATATGAAATAAATGCAGATGCATTTGTATTGCATATGTTTACTTTTAACTTTTTGATAATGTCATGGCGACTTTTCAGGAACACTTCATAAACAGAAAATTGCATGCACGTTCGATGATGTAAAGAAACAAAAGACCCTAAAGAGAGAGGGAAAGGAAAAGGAGTGATGTTCTTAAATGCATTATGTAAAGCGTATGTGCATAGTTACCCTATTGGGAAATAAACAGAAACAAAGAACACAACGATTGTAACTATCAATGTACTGAATTTTATACATAGAAACAATCAACAGATATTAAGAAAAAAAATTCAAAGTAAAAGTTATGAAAAAACAGTTTTTTTTGGATAAAATGAAATACAATATATTATTCGGTTTGATTTTTATGTTGTTTTAATGAATCGATTGTTTTTTCTAAATCAAGACAAACATCATTTCATAAAAAATTTTAGAGATTATTGTCACATGATAAAATGGCATTCATAAATTTCATTTTTATATTGCTCGTTCAAGCTGTTCTTTTTTCGATGTTAACATATAGACATCTTTCTCTAAAATTTTCATACATAAATCGAATTGCTGAAAAAGAAAATTAAACATAGAAAAGTTTATTAAACTTATATAGATCTGAAAGAAACCTGGTTTCGGTTTGAAAAGTATGCTTGGATACAAAAAAATATAGAATTTCGTTTTCATGTGAGTTTGTCTGGTCATCTGTACACATGTGGGCGTCGATATGGGTGAATTGAATATGCATAATAATAGCCACCATCATATTTACAATTGAAATCCACACCCTGATTGACATAGGCATAAAAAAATGCTTTATTTCGAACATTCTTGGTAGAAAAGTATAATAGAAGTCAAACGAATTCTCCCCATTCTTTTGTTTTTGTTATTATTACCACACTTAGTTTTATTTATTAACCTGCTATCTATAGAGAAGTAGTGTCAAACTTGCAAATTGAATTCAAGTATTTCAACTATTTCAAGTATTTGAAGTATTTTCGCTGCACCCTCATCTGCGGCGTTTCTGTGTACGTGTAGCTTGTATGAGTCGTACTTGGTGAAACTCCTTTCGCGGCACTCTCACTTGCGGAAAACTGGAAAAGTTGAAATACTTGAAATAGTTGAATTCAAGTTTCAAGTATTATATGTATGTAACCTAGTTGTGAAAAATTCGTTAACTTCTAGTATAAGAGTTGTGAAAGGTGTAAATGTGGATGTGGTGCTGTGGCGTTGTTAGTGTCGGAGTTCATTAGAATCGATAGCAAAACCTATATTAACAACCTGAATCTCTCAACAAAGTACTGAAAGAGAAAACTACCAATCTTCTATTTGATGTCTCTTTTCGGCCCTTGTTAGTCTTCACGAAGCACATGAAAGAAGTTTTCTGTTCTCTTCATGCAACAAAAGTTGTACAAGAACAATGAAACCTATACGAGTGTATTCAATAGACGAAGAGACACGAAGGAATAAAGTTACAGTAATCATTAATTTCAACAGCACATAATACATGAAAGTAGTCAACGTTTATGGCTAATTACTTTCCTCGTTCATTTTTGACATTACCGGTTGATCTTGTTTATTGGATTTTGGGCTATCTTGATGATTATAGAATTTTATGCTCCGTTCGAAATGTTTGTACAAGACTTAATATAATCAGTGATATGTATCATCGATATATGGTAAGTTGTAACTTTGTCATGTATTAAGATATCTCTCGTATTCGCGGTGTCATCGAGGATGTGGCGTCAGTGGGTGTGTATTCAAGAGAAAAATATTAACAACCACACTCTAAGGTGGGGGTGGGGGTGCGTATAATTCAAGAACAATGCACACACCCACACGATATACACCTGCACCCATCACACCCACCCGCACCCTCACAGTATTCTTCTTTAACAACACTATTAGACTGAAAATCTTCTTTGTCATTCGCTCACAGAATCAAATAACTTTTGATTTATTTTCACATCAAGTTTCCATATAAAAAGTAAATTAGATATAGCCAGTTCCGCCCTCTTTGGATTGACATCACTGACTGCACCACAGAACAATGACAAGAGCCAGCACAAACAGATCTTCTCTCTCATCCACACCTTCGACAATATCAACTGTGTATGATTCAGCCAATAATGGAGATTTCTTTCGATGGATATTTGCGATGACTTTTTCATCTTTTGTTAATACGTACGCGCCGCCAGTTAATGTTGCAGTTATTCGATCGATCATATATTGACCGTTAGCGGATTCAATAATGAGTCGGCGGTGCCATAGAGGACCTACCCGTTGGATCTTAGCCAAATGGTAGTCCTCTTTTCCAGTAGTATAGACGTTGAAGTAGAGATGAAAATGAGGAAGTTCCTGACGAACTTTGAGCAGTTCCATGCCATTGGAATCAAGCAGAGTGAGTTTATCACCGAAGGCAAGCAGTGTAGAACGCACGGTATAGACAGTGTTGTCGTGCTCATCTAAGATTAATAACTTTTGCTCTAATGAGAAACATCTCTCCTGAATTCGATAATGTCGAGAATGAGCCATGTTTATTTCTATTAGAATACTGTTCTCCAACATCATTGCTCCTATTTATATACGCTAGTGGAGGTCTTTCTCTTTTCTTTCTCTTTCTTGTGTACATTTTAGAACCTTCGTCATAAGAGAGTAAGTGCAAAATCATGCGTCATCATTACTCCTGCAAGGAAAATGACGACTATAATGGTTAAATGCATTTTTGTACACTATCTTGAGGGGTGTGGGTGGACGTGGGTATGCATGTGGGGTGCCCGTGTTCTCCTTGCCTCATGCAGATGACATCCACACCAACATGCTCGTACTCTGAATATTGAGTCGAGTGTCAAGTTAGTCACATGAGCGAGCGTTACTTGTTTAATAGTGTACATATAATATTCAACTCTTACCTTTTACCCAAGGGTAAAAAAACTTTTATAAAAGATCGGGAGATAAATATTTAGTTAGAAAACAAATGAGTATTGTATATGAAGTTTTGTTGAGTTATCTTTTATCTCATTTCATCATATACGAACACGGTACGAATGAGAAAAGGTGACTAAAAGTAAACTTGTATTTTGGCGTTATCAGTAGATGAAAATGTGTGTGCTATTGCTTGGAACATGTTATACTTGATTATATTGTGTTGAATCACCCTTTATTTTTTGTTGTTTTTTTTTTATAAAGAACTAAAAAGAAAAGACAAGGTAGTCACATAAAGACCGATAGGTACTCTGTGAATTATTTATATTTAAAAACAAGTAACGCGACTTTTTGGTCGCTAAGCCCTCTAATGAAAGGAGTACAATGTAATAAAACCACAATAGCATGGTTAGTGCCAGAGTTTTACATTCCACCCAGTGATCTCTGTGGCGTATAATCATTGGCCAATGATCATAATATGATTCGGAAAAATGAGATATTATCATTCTAAGTGTCCAACTGTGCTATAACATTTTCCTTTCACAATCTAGAGGGCTATTATAAAACATAATATTTTATCACTTTTATTCTGACTCATTGAATAATCACAGCCGAATAGGCCTGATTGATACATAATCACTTAATTAGTTCCAGTGATTCGGAAGGTTCTTTTCACAAACGCCCGGTTCATCAGCTAGTTGTTCGCTGGTGCCCTATGGGGCGCCACTCATGGCTACCCGTTCCCTTATTCAACTATAATTCGTAAAAAGATCCTCCTCTCCTATCGATAATCTACATGATTTTTACTCCGCTTCTTTGACAAGACTACTACCTTAAAAACTGAAGAAGTACTTCCCACATACAAAATACTCAGTCATCTATCGGATAGTTCAATTCGCTCGTTGTTTTGTTCTTCTGAAGCACATTTTCGGTCGAAAAAGAGTGAGCGAGCGTCAGAAAGTTAATCGATGGATCTGAGGCGTGTGCAGCACTGTTTCGAAAAAATTTCTAGTCAGCGACTAGTCGTCCTTCGGTGCTCCTACGTTGCGCCACCCACGGCTAGCTGTCATCATTCTTTGGCGTATCGTATCAAAAAAGACAAAACTCAAAATTTCCAAACAAAAAAACTCACGAATTCGGGTTTCCTGACCCTCATTACTTTCGCTTAAACTTAATAAAAAAACATTTTTTTTGTAAAACAGTCTTTCTCGCTCATAAAAAAGTAAAAAGCAAAATTTCAAAAACTAATCACGGATTCGAATTCCCCGACCCCGATTACTTTTGGTTAAACTTTATAAAAAAAAACAATTTTTTCATAAAAAAGTGTACCTTTATCGTAAAACAGTCGGAACTCAAAATTTCAAAAAATTAATCACGAATTCCAGTTCCCCGACCTCAATTACCTTTGATCAAACTTTATACGAAAACATTTTTTCCATAAAAAAGTGTACCTTTGTGGGTGTGGGTGTGCAATAATATCGTCACACAAGAGACTAGTACTCATACCCACCCCCACACCCATACCCATACCCACACCCACACCCATACCCACACCCATACCCACACCCACACCCACACCCACACCCTTCGAATTATTCATCAGCACTCAACGATAAAATTCGATCAGATTTGGAGAAATTCAGCAAAATCCACTAAACATTTGGGTGTGACGGTTTAATACTATACTGACCAGTATTAGATTATCAAATCGAAAGTTCAAACTGTAGCAAATACTTCGGCTTTTTCGCAGGCTATTAGACGATATCATCCATTCTCTCTTATTCTTGCGATTTTCTTCTGAAATCATACGGATTCTCTTCCATTTGACGACCTTGCTTGTATGTAGAGTAAAATTTTCAGAATGCTCGTCTTACCCGTATTCTCATCCTCAGATGTACCATAGCTTTAGATAGCATTTTAGACCTTATACGTTTTCCCTGGTCAAGTACTAGAAACCACACACTAGTGTCCTTT